AGGGCTGCATGAACAGACATACATTAGATGTGCTTCAGGAGAACACTAAGCAACTTCCCAGTGCCATACAGGACCTGAGCTTCATGACCTCCTCTCAACCATGAAGAGCTGGAGAGAGGATGGAATATACAAACACACAAGAAGTAAGTCGAAGCACATTAAACATATAGAAAAGCAAAAGCAACAGAAGAGAGAGAAAGAGTTGAGCCTTACTCTTACGTATCTGTTAAGAGCTCTTGAGTAATTTCTCTATATTGTTCCACTGAAAGACACTGATCATCTGGAGACAGCAAGTACTGTATTTGAGCCCACACTGGGTCTCACACAACTCACCTAAATATTGTCCCACAGAGACCATTGCCTTTGGCATGCAAGCAGCTCCTTGTGATGGTCTAAATGGAAATCCAGCTGTCTGTAGAAGAGCCTCTTGTTTTGGTAGTATGGTGCAGGATCTTCACATTTTGACTCTGTATCTGTAACTAATCAGTCCTGCTGTTGTGATATGCACAGGGCACACCTGCTTGCACTCTGGCTGCCACACACATACGTGGCTTACGCACACCCATGCATACTATTTTGCACATTGGTCTGTTCTGACACTGCAGTTCTGCCTCTCCACATCACTGAGAGCAGAAGGAAGACAAAGAGCCATTTCCTGATACGTGTAGGTCCCAGCTGCCAAAACAAATACACAAAATAGTGTATTCAGAAGACTCTAGGGGTTTGGCCATTAACAGCGCTCTGTGAAACCTCCATTTTGGGAAGAAGGGGTCTGGGATATGTTTCTGACTCGTTTTTAATGCTTAACATTGTACATCTGCATAAGCACACGTCACTGGCCAGGCAAGATTGCACCCACAACCATAAGTGTGTGTTGACTTGGTAGCTGGTATATGTGGAGATAAAGTCCAATTATGGAAACAGAACATAGTGTGTTGGCACTGAAGCTCCATATTTTAGTTATAGGAATCACATGCCTCAACAAGTTCAGCTATGTATATTCATGTGCAGTATACTTGTCAGTAGGCTGGTGTGAAGGCTAAAAATTAAATATAGAGGGCTGTAGTGTCAAAGAGAAGCTTTATGGTGTAGACAACAGGGAATATGCAAACCAATTACACTACAGATTTACAGTGCATGTACATGTAGTCCTCAAAGCCAAGGGTCTGACCAAGCTTAATATGGTCAAGATTCATGTATTGGGCTTTCATTATGACCCTTTGGAATACATGCAAAGGGTACAATCTTGAGTTTCCCAAAGTACAGTACTCTCAGTAATCTCAATGTGCAATAGAAACACCAGCGTCCTTCCTGACAGAAAGAAATGATGAATGCTGACTGTCTGGTCAGCTTGGTCCGCCAGCAGGAACTCACGTCTCCTAAAACGCTGACAGAGCAAATTTCCAAATTGATAAGACTTAAATAGAGTGAAAACATATTCTAAACTGAAGTTGTTACTTTCTCACCTGAAAAAGTATCAGAACTTACTAAAGTGACATAATACCAATCCTAGGACAAAAATTCTAACAACTTTGAGCTTGACTCACATCTCTGCCATCACTGCTTGTTCACACACATTGCATTTTGTTTTGCTGCACCACGTCTTGATAAAGGAGCAAGAAGACCTTTAGTTATTTGATGTGTACTTGGATGCAAACTTTGAACTGGAACAGTATTTGAGCTGTGCTTGGTGATGTTTCAAATGTCCTCCAGAACACAAGTACAGACAAGTACACAGACTGAGAAAGGAACTTTGAACTGGAACAGTATTTGGGCTGTGCTTGGTAATGTTTCAAATGTCCTCCAGAACACATGTACAGACAAGTACACAGACTGAGAAAGGCCCAGTGAAAGTGCTAACATGTAAAGGTTAAGCAAATGTAATGCTCACTAAGTCATCTATGTTTAACGTGTTAGCAAGACTACCTTGTACTGTGAACTTTGCCACGTTCTAATGAGCACTTTGTATTTAGAGACAGTAGCTTCTGTTTTACTGAGCTGTAGAAGCATATATCGCATACTGTAGTAACATTACATTAAAGAAAGATAGTTTCCTTTCTAGACATCAAAACACTTCAATAATATGAAGCAGAGTTTGCAGGGGTATGCAGGAGCTTCACCTTAATGCTTCTTCTATCAAGTAATAAGCACAGCCTTTGGGTCCAGAGGAGAAGTCTTGTCAGCATCACGCACAGCCGTCCACCCTAAAGAAGCTGGCTGCGTACTGAGAGCACCTGGCTCAGGCGCTTCAGATCAAAGTGCTGATTGTTCATTAGTAAACCTTATAACAGCAGGCAGATTTACCAAATCACAGCATAATAAGAAACATTTATTTCTTCCAGCTTAAACTCATCTGGATGCAAGCAGCAATGAAATACACTAAGTCTTAAGAGTGGAAACAGACATTCTTGATTTCCTCTTGTCTTGAAAACAGGGAATCCAGGGTTTATGAAATGCTTTGAGAGAACTGTGAATATTTTGATATAAGAACAGGAGATCAACTTGCATAAAATGGGATTGTTTCTAGAGGAAGAACGTATTTTTTGTCAGATTTTTTTGACATGTCCAATTCTAAAGAAAATATTTTGCACAATGAAATATAAACTGAAATCAGTACTACTTCACTTACAGTGTGATGATGTCACTTTCCATCAATTTTTAATTCTTCAAATAATTTACAACCTTTCTGCTGCTAATAACGATGAGCAAATAGGAAAGAATACTTGACTTGGTTTATCATTACCACTCTAATTCAAGCTGTGCAGGACTAATAACAACTAAAATTATATACTTTCCTCAAGCACACACTCAAGTGTTGAGTGCTTTACACGACTGTTTGTGTAAAAGCCACTGAGGCTCAGATTCTTCTAAATGAATATGCTCAACATGTCTGCTGAGGTAGATTTAGGAACACCAGCATGAATGAAAATGTGTGCGATGGAGGTGCATGGACAAAAATATGGTCTATTCACTATATTAAAATTTTTATACCATGTCTGCAAAACTGCTCGAACTTTTAACAAGTCTACAGTCAGAAGCTCTGTGAGACTGTACGTCAGCACAACACTGAGCTAAATGCTAACGTCAGCATGTTAAAATCCTCACAATGACAATGCTAATATTCTGATTTTAAGCAGGTGTGTTTACCATGTTCACCATCCAATGTCCACCTGGTAGGAAATTAAATGCCAATTAGCACTAAACATAAAGTAATGCTGAGGCTGAGGTAAGTGTCATTAGTTTTGCAGGAACTTGGGGACAAACCAAAATACAGCACAAATTGAAATTTTGACTTCATGGCAGCTGTAGATGAAAAGTGATAACATCACCAAAGTTATTACAATTCTTCCTGCTGCGGACACGAATGTCTCCACCAGAATTCCTGAGAATTCTCTAATCTCTGCTGCAGCTGCAGCTACCATGTGCACTGACGTATAATTTTAAAGTCAGCTGTATATTTAACATCACATGGGAGAAGAACCAAAAGCCTACTGAACCCTAAAGCAAAAATGAAAACACCCTTCCTTTGTAGCGTGACTCTGCAGCCCAACAAACCAGAAGGCTTCACTATTTCATTATTTGTCAGGATAAGTGAGGCAACACCTGTGTTATGAGAAACTCGACTGGACAGTGGAAGCAGCGTTTGTGCATTCCTGTGGGATAAAGAAAGCTGGGCGCCGTGGTGAGCTGCTATCATGGGAGCAGACATCTCATGTAGACATGTGAGAAACATCACAAGGCAGACAGCTCCCATCTCAGGGAAGGGCCTTTCGCTTGTCAGCAGGGTCTAAATTGTGGGGGCGGCTGGGATCAAAACACACCAACCATATGTACACACTGCGCTGCCCTTTCCATATGGGAATATTTACGTCTGCTTTGTTGTTCAAAGATCAAAGTGGGGGAGATCCATTTGAGCTGATTTTATGACACGTTTTATCAAATTTGCAGGGAGGACCTTTAAATGCCCAGTAAAACCTGTTCCACAGCTTGAAAGACCAACCCATTAAGTCATACATATAAAGGAAAGCTGCCTGAGAAGTGTAGATGTGGTGCAGAGTGAAAAGGGAATGTGAGCTTCTGAGTGGTGGTGAATGTTAAAAATCCATATGAAATCCATATATTACAAAAATGGCTGCAGAGGAATCAAACCAAAAGCAGAACACCATAAATTTATTGTGGAAAAAAGCAAAACAGGTCTATTCTGGTACATGGTTCATCTTTATATTACAAAAAGGAGAAAAAGGCTACAAATCTCGATAATTTATACAAATACAACAACTTTCAAAAATAAATCTTTAATTTAGTAAACGATCTGCGGACAGGTTTCTGCAATAGCCCGCCGCTTGAGATCCCTGAGGACAGACACAGAGTGAAACGCACTTTTTACATCTTCACTCAAGCGGTAACAATTATCAGTGTTTGTTCATAAACACTTTATACACAAAGGAACCATTAGCACATGGATCTTGTGAGATGTGGGGCAGAAATGAATGTGAAGTGTGATTCTTTTCCTCAGCATTTCACCAGTGACCACAACAGTCAAAAACAGAACAGTGTTGACACCATTAGGAGTGTAACAAACAACATAATGCTTTTTGTATTTACCTAAAATGGGTCACTCAATTGTATTTGAAGCTTTTTCTCAGTAATGACCTCAATGTGCACATCATATCTGGTAACTTCCTCCATTTTCCGTGTGAAAACACAGTGTTGGCTGGTTCTGTTGCTAAGGTAACACAAAGCAATAACTCACATTGTGATAAACTAGTACACAAATAGTTCAGGAGGTTTGTGGCCAACAACAAACAAATTATCACTAATACTGTACATACTCTTATTTCCGGGAAGGTGCAGTTTCACTTAACATGTCCTGACAACAACAAAGAAATGAACAGATGTTAAATACACAGAATATATACAAAATGAGACCTTAAGACTGAGAACAGAGTCTTGATATTGTGAGAAATACTTCATGTAATCAATACTGTGGGTAAAGTTTGCTGAGCTTCCATTGTAAATCTGGCTTCTTTTTTGCTGCATAATTTTCTGTATAAAACAAATAATGTACCTAGGTATATATTAGGATTCATTTACAGTACACAAACAATGAAATTAGTTTTTATTCCAACACAAATATAGGCATTAAAACATTTCCCTCAGTCATGCTATATCTATGCATTGTTCCATGATAAAAAGGTGTGCATCAGTTTAGTGTTTGTATTTGGTTAGAAGAACTCCATCTGTTTCTACTGTACCTGCTGCTTCGTTGTCTGTGACTTCCATGGGAAGGTTGCTTAATATTTCAATCGATAGCTTTTTGCTGTTGTTGACTAACTACCGTGGTGACCTGGCTTCTTACCAAGTGGTAAAAATGCCACCTGCATGCTACTGTACACAGCTACATGTAAATAAGATTCACACCTTTTATTATAAGGCATTACACTGTTAAAAGGGCCCCACTCACTTTGCTTTTTGAGTTTTACTGTTTTTGGCGAGGTTCACACTTTGCGGAGCTGTTAGAGGCCATTCTTGTGCTGTAATGGCTGAAAAGTGTAATTCCCTTTTTTCAAGTTTTTACCAAATGTCAGGACATGTGCTACAAATGGTTTGCAATAACCTTCTCACTTCTCCTTATGAAGTGTGTGTAATCTCATGAGCAAAACAAAGTGGCCGATTGAGGTTACAAAGAAAAATAGAAAACTACACAGACTGGAGATTAGTGATATAAACTTCATTCATGCGATTAATTTGGAGATGTTGGATGGCGTCCAGTATTTCATATCACTTCGTCTTCTTCATTATCAAGATGGAATATCTGATCAAACCAAGACCTTTATTAAATGTTTAATATCCTCTGTGCAGTACAGAGATTCTCTTTTAACTTTGATGTTGCACTGCTTGGGGACAAACTTCACTCTATTGAACTACATTTGCTTATTAAAAAAAAAAATCATGACAAATGTTGAAAGACGTACCTACGGTCTCTCTTTAAGTGTACTCTAAGTGTTTTAGTTATAAAAGGAAGGACATGTTTCTTGTGACAGCACTCACTTTAAGGAATGTTCTAAAGAGCTTAGCACAGCGTTTGGACTCTGAGAAAAGCTTCTGAGGAAAGCTGTTATGCAGAGCTCAGGAGTCATTAGGAGTTCTGTGCGGCACAGTCATGGCACCTCTGATTGAACATCCTCCCAAGTCTCCTCCATTTCTTCCAGATGAGAAGAGCGAATGAGGGCGTGTGGGCTGTCCTTTCCCCAGGTCTGGCGTACAGATGGCAGGTAGGCAGGCAGGGTGAGCTCAGGGGCTTGAGGTCCTCAGGCCCTGTTTCTCCATGATGTTCCACAGCTTGCGCAAGTTGGACTGGGTGATGGTGTCATCCGGTTTCAGTTGAAGTGCTCGAAGGTAATTGGCTTCAGCTTCTTGCAGTTTTCCGTTGAGGTGGAGGATCGCCCCCAGGTTCATGAGAGCTGCAGGATACTGAAACCATTAAAAAAAAGATGTTATTCACTATAAGACAAGATCAGTTTCACACTAAGAGCACTTTAGGCTAGCTTAAAGCTTTTCCCCCCAAAAGACACTGTCTGTTCCTCTTGAGAATGACAATGCAGGAGTCATGTTATGGAAGAGTAGGTTCAATACTGTGGGTAAAGACTAAAGAACATCATTTATGAAAAATGTAAATTTTATAACATCAGAGGCCATGAATGGATGAGATGAATAATGCAAATGAAGTCTATCTAGCCACACTCTGGGGCTCTACATAATTTAAGAAGAAAAGGGATTTGACCAGAAACATTTAGGAATGTTGCCTGGACATTAAACACCAAACAAACAGACTCTGAGCAGATGTTATCTAAGTTAGAGCTTTAAAAGCACTTTAAAATAAGAATCTTATGACAAAACCACAAAAAAAGATCAGCATGAATGAACACATCATGTTACAGAATAAACTGTTATTTTGCCTCTTAAATAAACTAGGCCTGTAATGGAGCATTTGGTCATCATGTGAGACTATACAGCAGACCCTAACATGCTATTGGTTCCTGTTTGTTAGATCACCCACACTGTGGTGCAGTATTTGGGGCTTGGTGACCATGCTGCTTTGCGTGTCCCTGTGCCTTGTCTGTGGTCACACATGTCAGTGGGAGCAACCACAACTTTGAAGTGGGTCAAGATGAATACGTTGCTTATTACTGCTGGTGCCAAGGGGCAAAGTCAGCATCAATGCGACAGGCGGATGAGTCATAAAGACATAAGTACAGGAAAAGTGTCTGGGATGCAATCATGGTAAGACCACAATGTAACCAGGCCAAGGGCAGGGTCACATCTGATCTCCATTTTAGTTTTAAGGGCGGAAAAGATGTTTAATTCTGTCAAGAAGCTACTGTTTTACTGTGTGAGACTATTGTTTCTGTAATTTTTGATTCCTAGGAAACAAGGAATGTTCACATAAAACAGTGAGGGTTAAAATAATGGCCAGTCATGTGCTTTCACTGCAGTCTTTGTTTGCAGTTCCTTTTTCCAATAATTGCCACCCTATACATCATTGATACACGCTGTGACACATGTTTAGGCCGTCCTGGTGTTTACTGATGTGCTGTACCAGAATCCCATCTGTTTCTTATGGCTTGTTAACTAATCGAGAGTAATTCTCTGTGCATGGGCAAAGTGCTTTGCTATAATGTTATGAAAATGTGAAAGAATATGCGCTTAATTAGAATATAAGTATATGAAAAGCTAGTAAAAGCACAGGAAAAACACCTTCATGTAACTTCATGGCTTGTAAAGTGATGAAATTCTGTTAATGGATGTATCTATCAAACAGACACACACAAAACTGAACACTTGCAATCCATGTGTTATAACAGGTCTGAAGTTTATACTTTGCATATTCATGAAGCGTTTATCACACATTAAGCACATGTTGTCCGAAGCATTACTGAACACAAGCACTGTCAGATTGTATACCCATTTATCTCTCAACAAATCTCTTTTGCCAAAGTCATGGTTAAATGAGTGACGTGCCATGCATGAGAATTTCAATGGGAGCAACATGTCGAATAGCACTGCTTGCCCATAACAATTAAATTGATGAATAAATCAAAGCGACACTGGACTAATCCTATCTTCTCTAAGAGAGGGACCGCTTCTTCTTTCAATGCATATTAAGCATGGTGCAGATGCCTGGGCCAAAGTAAAAGCTCCAGGCCTCCAAATGTGCTGTATTAAATTACCAGATACCATTTGCTAGATACTGTGTTATTTCATTAATCCCCTAGAAAAATAACATTTATCGTCAGTGTTTTGATTATTATTCACAGGAGCAGACAAAGTTCTTGACTTTAATGGTCGGGGTAATTCTGAGGCTGTTTGCGCTTCAAATTACCTTCTGTTTGACCCAACTGATTGAGGGTCAAACCGTAAAATAATGGGGATCAATTTGTAAGAAACGTTTACTACTCAGAAAAATGCAAGCTAAAATAAGTTTATACATATAGACATAATTGAATGTGACATTGAGGGAGCCACATGTGAATACTGTATCCAGAATGTGGAGGTGACAAGTAGGTGTGTATTGGAAAAAATGTATTAATGCCATTTTGGTTAAGAAACTATGATAAGTGAAGTGCATCCTTCCCTTAGCCTCAATGTTTTTCTAAGAGGTCATGAGTTCATAATGCAACATGACTCATAAAAGAGTCTTTAGAGTCAAAGTAAGAGAATGATGATGGTCAAATTATATCCTGTTTTGGCTATTTGAGATGGCTACTGTACATGTTGTTGCATCTGGTGATTTGGCTTCTGGTCAATGTCCACAGGAATGTTTTGTTGACATTTCCAGCTGCTCATATCATTCTCTTTAGCCCAAGGCAATGAAAAGAATCACAAGGTACAACAATAGGTTAAAAGTTTTCCCTTCAGAGATGACACAAGTTGTAGGCCAAGTCAGTTAAAAGCAAGCTTTTCATGCTTTGCCAGAGACAAAAACAAAGCCTGCCCAGAAAAGAATAGGTTTTAGATGAATGAGAAGTGGGTGAAGGTGCGTAAAGTTAATTTTTAAGACAGAAGGAAAAAAAAAGTACAGCCATTTGAAAGGCAAATCCTGATATTCAAGTGAATGCAAAACTGAACTAAACATCTAAAAATCAACATACTTTTACTGAAAGCATTCAGAGATTCTCCAGAAAAGATACTGATGAGTAGCATAACATATGCTGCACTGAGTGAAGGCTCCAGGGTAGAAAATCAACTGACTGCTTTCTTCTCAGTGCAACCGCAACAAAGGTTCAAAAGATCGTTCTCTTCACCCATGCAGAACTTATCACTTCCAGAGTTCAGATTCCTTCCTCCGGTCTTCCCAGTAGCTTCCTGCCTCTCTTCACCAAAATCTTTCTATCCCTGCGTTATATAGCCAAAACATTTATGATTTATACCACTACTCCTGTATTCTTCCTTGCTCTAGCAGCACTCTGCAGAATGCATTGTCATAAGCTTTAATTTCCCCCTCATTTCCTGCTGCTCTGTAACCCCTCTGCCTCCCTATCCTTCTCAAAATTGGCATGTAGCAGCAAAGGCACAGCCAGATGTGGAGCACACTAGCCTGGCAACATGTGAAGTCAAATGTGAAGCCAGGCTGGGGAATGACCCGAGCAAAATGACATCAAATAGGCACTGTGGTAAAAACGTCTATATGGATGGAATGGTAAAGTTTCAAAGGACAGATATTAAGGGGTGCAGAGAGGAACCAAAGCAAATCAAGCATCCAATAGGATTTACCTTGTCTAGATAGCTGGAGTTGTAGGACTAGGAGACTAAATCCCTTGAGTGGAGGGAATTGTCCTCTCTCACTCAGAGTGAGCAGACACATCTGCTTAATATAAAACACCAGTGCCTTTGGAGAGTGAAGAGTCAAGCCGCAGTAAAGCATGAAATGACAAATGAAGATGGACAGGGTACATGGCTTAAGTCAAGTCACATCGCAAAGAACAAAGGATAATGGCAAAGATGATGGATGAAGATGCTGAATTATAATGTGTTTCAGCTGTAAGCAATACAAATTGCAATGGTATCAAGGTAAAAGTGACCAAGTAGGGGCAAAAAAGTCTCTATGTTTGGATGTAGATATCAAATGCATGTTCATACGATGCCAAGAAAACGGTCATGTGAAAATGACAGCGATCTGGCCTTGAAATATAGCTGTGGGGAACTCAAACATCCTCAGCATGTATTTTATGGAAGTACATATCCATCATTACAAGGCATGACAGTGATCTCTGTGGCTGAAACTGTCTCTGCACTGTAATTAAGTAACTGTAAGGTGACTTGTAAACCCAAAATTGTCTGTAGATGTCACTGTGGGTGTGCATCTTGGATGTATTAGGAGAACTGGAAGATGGGTGTCGCACCATATTCAGTTCTCTAAAGACATCCTCAACGTGGGGGCGTTTGAGGGAAGGAGAGAGGAAAGGGGATGTATTAGCCTACACACACAATAACGGTCATGACTCGTGAGTCATACTGTCCTCAGGATTTAAAAGTCAGTACAGTAACTAGGCTAATTAATGGTTTTAATAAAAAACAACATAAAATTGAATAACAGCTAAACAAATTAAAACTTTACTGGATTTGAGATCCAAGATTCCGAGATAAATCTACTTAACATCTATAATCTACAATTACCTGTCTGAACCACAAGTCACTGCTTACTAAATAAATGCATTTATCTGCCTGTGTTAGCAAGCCCTGCATTGAAACAATTCAAGGCAACAACACTACTTCGGAGAGGGTGTGTTGCCTCAGCTATAGTGAAACATGAATTTCAAACCAGGTCCATGAATTTGAAGGCTAAAACACTGCACACTGTTTTAGAATACTCCTGAAAGGTATCACAGTGGCAACAGAAATGCACTGTTAAGGTCTCTGTGTCGACACCACCAGCTGCTCCACTGGAGGACTAAAGTCTGTCTGACAGCAGCTTTAGACTAGAGTTAGCCCAGACTGGAGAACTGTCCAGAGGTTTTTCTCTCTGCTCGGTGCATGCTGGTTAGTCTGAAGGGGAGGATAACCATGAGAAAATCATCCAACTGCCTTTGTAGTTAGATACAACATGTCCCACACTTAACCGTAAACTCTGGTTCTTTTTAAACATCATTTTTGTATTTGTTTGAACTCTAGAAATGACAAAGATAATTTTCTATACCTTCCATCTGAGTTTAATTAGATGTTAAAAACACAGTTCTTTGGCAAAACGTGAATGCTGCACTGATAATGAAAACAACAAAGGAGAGATGAAGTCAATTTCATGGTTTCCTTGGAAATTTTAAATTCTATCTTGCACTCAAGTTTACTTTGTCGTTTTGTTTGTCATTGTTTGTGTATATCATACCAAAGTTTGTGTGTCCGCAGAACAAAACTCTATTGTCAGCATAACATTGCCCAGATATATTTTGATGATTAATCCTGAACTGATTTCTTCTGGTCAAGACACAGGAACAAACAGGGTGACCACATGGCAAACATATTTTGCTCCCTCTACAGCCATCACTTCAACAACTCAACCCCTCCCATCTCACAGACTGGAGCCCATTCATTTTCAAGACGTCAAAGTTCCCTGACCAAGTGTTATTATCATTATTCTTTTCAATCGACTTACCCTGGCCTCTCCTTTGAAGTTGGTGATGGATGCTACACAAACAAACCTCTGAGCTTAGTCAAAATCTAGCCCTCATTTTTCTGAGATCCACTACAATTGAAACGCTGTTGTGAGAAAGCAGACCAGGCCGTATAATAATGAAAAGCCACTCAGATTGTGATTGCACAGCATCCATCGGGGTAAATAATAATGGAGGTGATTAGCTTGTCATGGTTGTACTCACATTGGGTCTCAGATTCGCTGCTTGTCCGTAATACTTCTCGGCTGCCTCATTTAGGCTGGCTTGTCTGCAGAGAGAAAACAGAGGGAGGCGATCATTACTCATCTTTATTGCTCCTGGCTTTAGATGAGGCCTTGAACCCTACATGTTTACTGGTGCTCAAGGGTCACTGAGAAAATAACAGGAGGGAGCAGCATGAGGAATAAGAAAAGCAGATCCAGTTGCCTGTAGGTTTCTCGATCGATAGCACCTTTCACTTGAAATCATCCGTGCTAAGCAGTGCACAGAAAGAACTTTCTGTTCTAACTGAACCTTGAAGTGAGGGCTTGCGGCTTATTCTTGAAAAAATTAATCAACAAACCAAGGATGATTAGAAATATTCACTGTAACCTGTGACTTGACATGCTGGATGAATACTGAGACAATGAAGATGTGCAGCGAGTATGGAAGCATATAATACTATCGTAATACTGTCATAACAAACAGGACAGCAGAGTGGATGACACATATACCAAAACATACTGTATATTTCACACAGAAAAAAAAGGGATTTTTGAGCAGATGGCTTGTCGGCATGAGTCCCTGGTACCAAAAATACTTTGTTCCTTAGGACATGAAACCTGCAACCAAGAGTGGCTTGATCTATATTATGCTTCTTTTCTTCCTTCATGTCCTTCCGTTATACATAACCCGTCTCCTCTAGCACATGACACTTCCTGTTATATGTCATCTCAAAAATCACCTTTAGAGTCTACAGCTGCATGATTTTCTCTATTGGTAACAGTCTCATTGCCAACAATTTCACTTTGACAAAGTCAAGGGCAGAGTCAGTGATGGCCGACTATGAAGCCCTTTAAGCCGTAATGATCAAAGGAATCGAGGCCGTTGAAACCACAGTTTCATTTAGGCTGTCACAGTCTATTAAGGAACCATCATCCATATGGTTCCACATAAAAGGTATGGATTTAATTTTAGGCTTACACATGTTGTTTTTATGTTTGACTTTAAAGGCACTGTCTCATGTCTTCTAAATGCATGATTTCTCACTGATCAATGAGTAGGAAAGTTATGTTTTTCAGTTAGCTATAATGTACAGCAATATATAAAAAAAATCAACTAGCTTCACTTTGAAAACGTCTTCTTTCTTATGTTTTGTTAAAGGTAGGGTTGGCAATCCTGGAAAAACCAGCAAGAGGAAGCTCGAATTTGAAATTAGACAACCGAAGAAATCCCACCCTTTCATTCTGACTTCCACTCCTCCAAAACACAACGTGCACTGCCTGACTACTACTTACAGATTTCAGGAAAATAACAAATGTCCTCAAAAAAAAAAACCCAAAACTGATTATTACCTGTCCAGCAGAAATACGCCCACCATGGCGTCACTTTCCTGCCCCTTTTATTCTCTCAGTTGTCGCTGTGGTTCAAAAGCCACACCAATGTTAATTTTGGTCTTACTTTGTGCAGCATTCAACTTTAGTTGTAGCTTTTTCAAATATGTTTTTACCCTCCCAGATCTGTGGCCCCGAACTGTAGTTGGGGACCTCTGGTTCATGGCTAAGCTGCTTTAAGCCTGGCTCATAGCCTTAGAAGTCTGGGCTGTTCCAAGTAGGGAGAAGTGAAGATGGAGGCCAGAGAACTCTGTTCAAACCACAGGCTTTATTCCATCTCGGTAACACAAACACTGCATGTGGCCTTTGATGCCCATTTAATTGCATTATAATCCTATCTATACACTCAGAGCCGATTACTGTTGGTATTTTCCTCACCCACAGCTGCATGTAAAAGGAGTCTGTTCCCTGCGGCGGTCTTCTTGCTCTCACACTACATGCAGGTCGCAACTTCTGGCAACAACAACAACATTATCTATAAGACTATATGTCTTATATGCCTGGTGTGTAACTCCGGTCTCTGCTAGTAAACGAAAGCTGCTGTAGGTACAGTACCTTCTCTGCTATAGCTCAGTAGCTTTAGCTGTAAAACAGAGCAGTATTCTTGGCTGCAAGTAGGAAGTAGGCTGACAGGCAGGTAGGCTATCCAATGGTTTTGCTCATGCCGAGTAAAATTACTGGTCAGGACTTTTTCAGCCCCGCCGCTGCCTGAGATGACTTGTTTTGTTTGATTTGTTTCTTTATGTTGTCAATGCATTTAATGCATTCATTGCCATGGGGATAAGAAGAGAAGTTCGTGATATGTAGCAAAAAAATGCTTCTGAAAAAAATCGCCAACCCTACCTTTAACATGCTAAGCATAAAAATGAACAACTTTAAAATTAGGTTTTGACTTGATGATTGAGATAGGTGAAAAGTAAAAAGATCACCAAAGTTATAACAATTCCTCCAGAGGGGACCAAGATTGTGTGTGTCACATTTCATGGCAAACCGTCCAGTAGTTTGAGACATTTTGCTAAAAATCACAAATGTTCAGCTCATGGTGGTAAATGGTCTTATACTTGTATAGCGCCTTTCTATGCTTTTACAGCACACTCAAAGCGCTTTCACATTATTCACCCATTCGCACTCCCGCACCGGTGACATCACCGGGAGCAACTGGGGGTTCAGTGTCTTGCTCAAGGACACCTTGACATGTCGACTGGACAAGCCAGGAATCGAACCGCTAATCCTCCGGTTAGGAAACGACCCGCTCTACCTCCTGAGCCACAGCCGCCCCCGGTGTTGCTAAAAGAAATGTCAGGGGATCACCAAAGTCATTAGTATCCTTCCTCTGGGAACCATGAATGTTTGCAGATAGTTGTTGTGATATTTCAGTCTGTGACCAAAGTGGACAACCAACTGACAATGCCAACCCTGCAAATTCTAATTTTGATCTTATCCTTCGTGTTATGCATTTACATCCACTTGCATACATACAGAAAGTCATGCCACTGCTTTTAATCTTGCCTCCTCACTGGCGGTAGCCACAGACACTATGTTTTCAGTTTGTCTGTCTGTCCGTCCAGTCCATTCTTGTGAATGCGAAGCGTCAGGAGGGCATATGAGGGCATTTCTTCAAATTTGGCACAGGTGTCCACTTGGAATCAAGGATGAGTTGAATAGATTTTGGTGGTCAAAGGTCAAGGTCAGTGATCTCACATCTGTCCCATTCCTTTAGATTTGACGGGTTGGCGGAGGCATACAAATGCAATGCAGTAATTCTTTTTTTTTTTCTTCAAATGTATTTTTTCAGTTTTGTTCAAAAGAAGCATTTAACATTCCAGACACTGACTCAAGTTGCTGTATTTGTCCTGAGAATATAAATGTATGTTTCACATCCAACTACAACCATATGTTTGTTTGGCAGCATTTTTTTTTAGAAAGTACACTCTCCTTAGGAAAGAAATGCACAAATCTAATCTAATCATTATCACATTTACAAACACATTATCAGAGGAGAACTGGAGAGCGGCCACACCAAAGGAACAGTAGAACCTCCTGAGGCTGTCTGACTGCAGGTCATGAGAGTGCAGAAGACAATGGAGGCCAAGTATGTAACCCACTGCCTGGGTTTAATGACTGTATGTGCAGTACACCTAATGTAATTTACTACCAATGCTTTGTTTTATCAGTATTATGTTATCAGTTCAAACCAAATCATACATTTCAGATATGGTGTTTTGTCTTATCATATTGAGTTGTGATTGGGAATCTATGAGGTAAACTGAGTTCATACCCTGCTTGTGTGTGTTTTTGTGTTTCATTTTCCTTTGGCTTGTCTTACCTTGTCTGCAAATATCAACATATTTTATGTTGCCATATGATACCACAGTGTAAGTTTTCACTTTCACAGAGATTTAATGTGTTATATTAAATGGGAAGTGCAAGCACATCCCCACTGGCAATTGTCCTTTCCTGTCCTACATTTACACTGTAAAATATAAAGAGCTCATTTTAAAAAGATATAAACTGTAAAGGAGAAAGAGGGAAATGAATAGTTTGGAAGCAAAATGGTCAGAAACCAAGGGCCCAACAGGGCAGCAAAAGACATTTTCACATCTTACAGCCTCTGTCCCACCTTGTAATCTCTTCCCTTCACTCATGTAGATTAACTTGTGTCCCCACCTACTGAGGGCCTTTCCATGTTCAGCATCCAAGACAAACACAGAGAACATGGGCTGTGGAGGAGTAGGACCTCATGCCAAACAGACTTGAAGCTCTCTTTAGCTGCCATGGGTCTGGACCACGAAAGAGACTCTGAATACTGAAACCTGCTGTTGGTGATCCTCAGTGATTGGAGTGATGGAGGAAGATTTATGCAAAAAACAGCTGCCAATAATGGTCACTACAGGGTAAAGCACCAGCAGCCTTACTAAAATTTTGTTATTCAGTAGCAAAGAATGCAAACCCTTTTGAATCCCTTATTGAAACTGCTGAAGGGGTTAATTATTTTTAAAAAAGGGTAATGTTTTAACTTCACACAAGGCAGTAGCAAAACAAATTCCAGTAGCTTTGAGTAATAAAATATATAACTTCATATCTAAAAATATAGTTCTTGTAATACTAATGGGTTAGACAGAAACAGGGAAAGTAGTGAAGTGGAGTAGCTGGTTGAAAGGAGAGATCATTACATGTCCTGTTATTGAAAGTAGTACGTCATCTCAAAGTTTGACTAAAACTGAAACTAACACAAAGTGGCCTGCAGGAGTTTTTTATAAGTGGCCTTCTACTGCTAAAGTATTTGTTAAAATCAGTTTGCGCTGATAAGAAAAGAAAAAAAAGGTGAAGAAGCAGCAACTTCTATCATTATACATTTAAAATTCATGTCCATGCTTCCAAAATATTGTAAGTCTGGGGTAGAGGAGAAATATGATTATTGATCTGCTGCATGCATATGTAGATTTACAGTAACCAGGTTACTTGCATGAACGCACACTGTCTGACACTAATAGAAACTATGGGCATTAACAAAATCAAAATCACATTTTTCTGTGCTGAGGAGATGTAGGCTTTCCCCACATATTTTATCATTGCTCTGTGACATTCATTAACCCTGTCCCATTCATTTCCCCTTTTGCCGCAATTGCTCCTCACTGGTGGGTTGTGTGGCTGCAATTGTAGAAGCTAAAGCCAAAAATACACAGTGAAAACAAATACTGATTTGGCTTTATCATTCAGTGATCATCAGTTAAATAAACTGATATTGTTTTGCATTCACAGTGCAGTTAATGACAGCTTTGCTGAGTTATCACTTTGGATACTATATGGCATCAGTGTTTATTTATTTAATTTTAAATTTTTTGTTTGCCGATGCCTGTACTGTAAAATAGAGAAGCAAAACAGACTAGACACAGAATGTGAACGAAGCAATTTGATAAGGGGTATTCAGTCAGTGGGGCATTATACTCTAAGTTGGCACATGGCTGTGCCAACTTTATACATTACAACTCATGGCTTGTGTTCAGAAACACAAACAGCTTGCGGGCTGCTAAAGCTCTGCCACGCAAGCTCATCAGCTGAACCTTGCACTGATCTGGAAGCAGACTGTCACGTTGGAGCCAGGGACAGCTCAGAAAGAGTGAGGTAGAGTGGGAGGACAGGCGTAGAGTAAGTGAGAAAGAGCAAATGAAGATACTGTACATAGCTGCACAGCATGCTAAGACAAACCAGAGGCTCTTGGGTTGGCACTGCAGCAAGAGAAGAGGATTACAAAATATAGCCAAGTAAATCACACTGGCTGAGTTGAAGTTTAAGCTCTGGATAAACCGCTCAGATAGGAGACCTCCCGCTCTCATACACAGCTTTCTTTCTACTCAGCCTTGGAAAACCATGGCCCACCCAGCTCATCTACATTGAATAAAATGCATACAGTGTCTCTGTGCATGTGCTTTGGCTATGAAAATCCTCAACTATGAAAAAGAATCATTCCAATCAAACACTCACCTGAGCATATGGGCTGCACTGAAGACCACATCAAACTCCCTGCTGTCGAGACGTGCGGCTTTCTCTGCCATCTCTGCTGCTTCCAGCAGCCGTGACTCTTCCAACAAAAACTGACCTGGCAGGGCAGGAGAGAACAGCACTACTGTTAAAACACTGAGGGATCCCCACAGAAGCACTAAGGGATACACAGTCTGAAGTGTTGCCTTTGGCCCAGGTGGATTAGAGCTTAGTCTGCTCCTGAAATAATATGCTGAAACACTAGATATGTGTTAACATACCATCACTCTTTGGCCATCTCTCGGACCCATTTGTTCAGATTAGCCAACCTTGATACATAGAGGGAAATGTTTCTCTCAAGAGGCTTGTGTCTGATTGCAGGTGCGGCCGCTTTTGTGAAGAAGCTCTGTGGACATACCTGATGAGATGGGGCTATGGAAGCCTGACAAGGCCATGGTAAGGGTCACATATAGAGAGGAAATAATACCCTGTTGACTTTGATAAATCACTAATGTGCCAGGATGCTAAACCACCAAGTGAAGCTAAGCACATTTAGCTTAATAACTGTGGATGAAACTGAAGCCCTTAGTACAGAACTGAGGTGAAAGGCAGACTTAAAGTAAGACTTCAGACCATGACTGAGGGTAAAATAGCACCACAGTAGTTATGGAGGGCTTATGAAATCAAAGCAAACCTATGAGTAATAGAAGAAAAACAGTGCCTGCATAAATAAATGCCAGAGCCCAGGAGTACCCTCCTATATAAAATGAATTCACAATGGTGATCTGTCTATAAAGAATTTGATGCTGTAAGTCATGTTCATCACATGGCCTTGTGACCTTTAGAGGAATATTTGAAGGTGAACACAGAACTCAGGGCTCACCAGTTCAAAGAGCTGTTTATTACCATAGTATGCAACTGAATACCTGTCTCACAATCATACCAGCCAAAGTATAAATGTATGACAGAAATCCATTGGCCTAGAATTCATTATTAAATTACACATTGACCAGCACCTTTCTGCAGTATATACTGGAACAGCTCCTAAATGATGCATTAAATTAACATGAGCTGGACTTGACAGGTGACAGAAAATGAATGGTTGCATTAGTACAGTGCAGAACACATTCTGCGTTTGCTGTTGTGCTTAACTGATAAATACGATGCTGGAAAATTAATAAATGGATGTTTGAGTCTGAGAGTTCATATTATATGCTGTACTGTTTCAGGTTCCTCTGTATCTCCTTCTTTATTGTGCAGATCAGTAGAGCTAATCTTACCTGTAACTGACGTCTTAACCTTTAAAGGTAACAGTTTAGACATATGAAAAAATGCAATAATCCACCATGAACCTGTCTACTGATTGCCTTAAGTGTCACATGCAAGCTACTGCAGTGATCGTGAGCTGGCACATCAGTTCATCATAAAGAGCTTCAGATAATACTTTAAAAGCTTTTAAAGAAAGGAAGCTATGAACTTGTCAGCGTATTCAAACTCACGCTTACTATGGCAGCAATTAAATCTAAGAGTTATTGCCACAACTTCAAGTCATCTGTGTAAGTCACACAGAAACAATGTGAGACAAGAGAGACACTGAAATGATCACGTTCCATTTTTCCATGAAATCAAAAGGAACAATCTGAGGAAATCATCCTCTCTTCTTGTGATCCTCCACTGATCACGTACACACCAACAACATGGCTAAGTAGACGAGGACATGGCGGAGGGGTCAGCCAACAGTGTTGTACAAACAGCCTGCCTAGGCATGTGAGTTCCTGCTTTTGTGCACACATGAGTAACATGTATGTGTAAAACTGCCAAACTAAATATTTGAGAATGTAAAAATAAAAACTGGATATGTCAAAATGAAAGTAAAAAAAAAAAAAAAAAACACAAAAAAAACTAATTCGTGCTTACCATAATGCATATAACAGTTGCCTTTTGTGGGATCGAGCTGGATTGCCTTCAGGAAGTACCTCTCCGCTTCTGTTTTCTGCCCCTGAAAGAAACAATTAAACACAATGTCACTGTTATAACTGCTCCCCAGAACTACTCCATATAAAAATACCACACTCTGCTCTATAGCCAAAATACCTTTCTGTATACCCAACGTCCCCCTCCAAACCATAGACCTACTTTAACAAAAAAAAAACTTAATGCACGGACAGAAAACACACAGACCACGAGTGTTATTCTTTCATGCCCGTGTGTCGTCCTGTCAAAGTACACACTATCATGCTTGGCACAGTGGACCAGACGGGGCAAAGGCTTGCTCATTACACACTTTTATCTGTGCAAATAACACTTCCAGAGCATAACCACACGCTGCCTGTGTGTGTGGCCCGACCGCTATGAAACAAGGCAGAGAGTGGTGAATGGAAAAGGAGCGGGAGGGTGGAAAGGAGAGGAGAGGAAAGAGACAGAGAGGCTTGTGTGTATAGAGATCGTTAGATTCATATAAGCTCATACAGGTGCACGGCGCACACAAAAACACACACACTGAGGTTTCTATCTGTACAGTGTTGTTCCAGCCCAGATTAAAGAATCCATAACGGGAAGGTGAGCATAGCATGATGAGGACAAGCATCACTGAAGCCCTGTGGACCTCAAGAGCTCCCTCAGCTACTTGAGACCGTGAAACATATCCAATCACAGCTCAAACAGAACAGAGCAGCTGGGTAGTGGAAGTCCCAGCTGAGACTCTGACACATCCCTGCTCTCACTTATGCACCAGATGCTATCTGATCAACAGTTACCAATGTGCAAAAGCTGATGCTTTAGCATTAACAATTTCACTCCTTTACATAAACAATGCATATTATTAAACAGGAGCTGCACCACGCATAAAATGGCTGGGGATAAAATGCCAAAGAAAAGATGGAGGAAGATTTAATTGAGAATGCACAAGTCAGTAAAAATAATATATATGAATTCAGAGCAAATTACTTCAGCTTAGTCAAATAAAAGAATGGGCTCAAAGCCAATCAGAACAGGGCAGCATTGACAACTATATGCTTAGTCAAGTGTATACATTTTCTGTGAGCCGTAGCTTCAATAAACACATAATTTTCTAATGTAAATATCTGAGTGTGGTTTCCCTCGGTGCTGTGGAAAATCAAGTCTGTGTGTAAGTATGTATTTAATAGAGCTATCACAGTTCCAGTCTGAAAAGTATAATCTCTCTGTATTTATATATTCTTATTCACAGACTTACGAATGCATATGTCTAAGGCTCGACTGAGTTTGTAACAATAGAGGCCTACGTCTGTTTGATAAATCTCAGAATTAAGCTTTCACACACTGAAATGAGCTGCAGGTGAGAGTGGACAGACTGAGAGGAAGTTACATGAAAAGGTGTTAGCACATTTTGTTACACTACCTGTTATATCACTTCACTCCTGAACCCCATTAAAGTGGCACCTGTGTTATATCTTATCATTAAACTCATTTGGCCCACCTCTGTGATCAACCAGGAACCTCAGAGAGCATGTTCAGCTGTCTTGCTGTCATTTTCCTTTGTGAAATCAGAATCACGGTAGTGATTCACAACACAACAGGAGTGAGCTACTCCACCCCTTCTCATCTAAGGTGTGACAAACACTACCTAGGGCAGGGAGAGAAACCTTCATGTTTGTTGAGGGAAGGTTTGTACTGACGTTCTCCAGCCCAACCTCTGCTGCATAGATGAAACTTCTGCTCCCAGAGCTTTTGTCTTCAATGTCCAGCAGCAGCTCTGAGTCTGTATTTTATATTATGTAAAGGGTCAAGTCAGGTCTGGAAATGATTTAAAGATAACTAGAGGTAACTCGTGCTGGGGTCTCCTCTGGAGATAAAAACGACCTCACATATGTGAACTTGTTTTAAAAATATTAAACATTCTTTATTTGTTAGCGGCATATGAAATGAATGTTGTGAATGAATGTGATGATGAATGTTTTATGATGTTATTGAAATATTTATAAATGTGACTGGCAGCACTAAAATGGAAAACTCACAGAAATGATGATTTTTCAACATGACATAAAATTATTTTGACTTAAGAGTTTGGATTTTTGCTTTTAATAATAATGTCATGAAGGACTTTTTGGTGCTCAGGACTCATCCTGAAGACAGTTGCATTACTGTCAATCTGTCTGTATAAGATTTCCAGTGTGGTGTTCAGAAAAACTGTGAGCATTATTTACTGTTAGATCCTGATCGATCCTGTCCACAGATTTAAATTAGTAATGAAGCTGATGCTACTCTGCCATCTAAATCTAAATTCATACACAGGTAGTCTCTCACATCAGACACTGTAGATAAAGCATTTCAGCTGCTGTGTGATGACTCTACGGATGTTTGATCAACTACGCAGAAAAGGATGGACATTCTCCAACTTGCTCACTCATCACAAAGACCAGCAGTGTTCATGTTTCTGCAGACATCCAGGAGACAGGATCATACTCCTGTGGATGACACTGTTGGCAACCTTTGTCAGTCTCAAGGTATTTTTGATGCATGTATCAGTCTGCAGTAGAAACACACTTGATGTAAATGAAAAGTGTTTTTTTTTTTTTTTTATTTTGGAGAGGTCTGTGTGTGTGCCTCTGCCAAGTAAAGCCACAAAAATTGCCCTGTCTCTGCAGTAAGAGGTGGTCTGATTGGAGAGGTCTGTGTGTGTGCCTCTGCCAAGTAAAGCCACAAAAATTGCCCTGTCTCTGCAGTAAGAGGTGGTCTGAGTAATCATCTCTTTAACACAAATGCAATTTTGGTCCAAAGAGAAAACCAAAATTGCACTGCACCACCTAATCTGCCTCTTCTCTGACAGCGGTGGAAACACGTTTATTTGATTCCAGGCAAATTGCCAGACAAGAAAAGATGCAAAAAATCTGACTTGCACTGAGGAAATTGCATAAAAACTGCATTTGCACAAATGCCAAAACTGTGCCTGCGTAAAAATGTTGTAGAGCTATTCAAGTCTACAGACATGCTGGCAGCTCTGTGTGGCTGTAGGCTCAGCAGTACTTTGAGTGAAATGCAATTGTAAGCATATTAACATGCTTACAATGCATGGGTGTATTATTAGAGATGAGATAGATTGTTCTGGGGTGAGGAATCATGATGACAAGCTACATTTTCCTCAGTCAAGTGGCATACTTTCAGAATGGGAATGCATCTTTAGATGACTGTACGCAGCCCAGGATTTATCTACAGAATAATATGGCAAAAAATAAGAACTACATATGTGACATGAGTGCTAGTGGAAAGCACTGAGTTGAATAAATGATAAACCCACAGCCAGCCAGCCTGCCATCGCTCCATTTCTACAGTTCATGGCATGACAATGCTCCCTCTTGGCTGCACTGAAAGCACCTCAAGGCTTCTTACCGTAGCTTTGGGACGGGGTGGAAAGTCAATAAAAGTGTCAACTCCTATTCTGCCTTCCTTTAACTATATCTACTTCTCATTCCAGTCAGCTCAGTGTGTGGATACAGTATCTTCCCTTTTGTCACACACATGCTGAGCATATTGGTGCGTGCCTCACACCTAAAATCTCCTGGTAACATCAGATAAACTGCAGCTGTAGCTCTGGCTCTGTGGGTGTTGACATTATGAATGAAGTGTGCATCCTGTTAGCTGAGGAAATGACAAGTGGCTGACTGAATCCAGCAGTTAAAGCATCACGACTGTGTCCGCCTTTGACCTGTGGTGTGTACACAGAGCGTGAAACACATCCTGATTCCCAGCAGAGTCAGTGGAGGTGTGACGGGGTCAGTGCAGTGGGGGAGGGGCAACACTGATCTGTGAAATTAACTCTTCCTTCGTCTTCCTTATGCGTTCCCTTCATCTGCAAATCACAGTAACTCTTTGCTCTCTGTGTAAGTTACCAGCTCATCTTCACCATCCTCCTTTCAATCCTCTGTCACACTGCTGCCAAGCCTTATCTCACAGCCTCTCCACCTCTCCCACAGGGATCTGAACCATGAAAACCCCTCACAATATGTTAAGACCATGCACCACTTGCAGTTATGCCACAGGAAGTGCTGGGGTAGGGGATGACTGAGGCAGGGGCTGGCGAGCAGGTCAGCTTCCTACTTAAATTATCCTGTCATCAGGCAGATGCCTTAGCCACAACAGGACAAGCATACATTAAACAATACCCTGGGTACAAGATGCACGGAAAACATGTGAAGAAAACATGTGAGGATGGAAAACATGTGAAGAAAACATGTGAAGAAAACATGTGAGGAGAGGGGACTCAAGGAAACATGCTATTAACATGAGACGTCCTTTCCTCAGATCCTTCATCTGAAGTGTCCAATCACCAAGTGATTTCTGATAAAGGGGTGTGTCAGTTCACAAAATAAAACTTCTGTGAAGGATGGCCTTGTGTATCTTTGGTTATGGTTCCTGCAGCACGGTCCTCGGTCCTCAGAACCCATATAAGAGTCCTGGAACGTCCTACGTCCCTGGTTGACTGGAACGACTTCCGGGTCGACGGAAGACATAGGAACACTCTTATAGGAGACATGAGACAAACCCCATCACTCACATTCATGGGTACAAACTTTCCACTAGATTTGAAATTAAATATGTTCTGCCATTCATTTTTTCTTATAGGTGAAGAATCTTGTCCAAACAATTAAGTTCCCTTCTCTGATGGCGTTATTTTCACTTAGAGGATGACTGGCGCTCCAAACCCCTCTACAATACATCTCGTACAGAGATCTAGAGAATCTTTCCTGTGAAATTGAGCTCTATTTTGCTCCAAATCGATAACACTTTCTTAAATAAAATGAGCTTCTCTTCACACTGAATTCTTCAACGAGTTACTTAACAATCTCTCCTAGGGAACCTTTGTTCCTCAAGACTGTCCTCGCTGACTGTTTGGTTTTAGATCATCTCTGATGTCCAGTGGCTTGTGCTCAGAGAGGAATTCATGGCAGCTTAACAAGTGACTTTTATCTGTAGTGTCAGTTGAACTATTCTTCAGGCTGATCATCAGTCTGAACACAGATGAGAAAATCAATTGAGTATGGTGCTGGAGCTCAATCTGATTCAGCCACAAAATAATCCACTTCACTCACGATACACTGTGTAGTGGTATTACGTAGCTACAATATATGGCATAACTGAGGAAGAAACAAGAGCCTAACATTTTGGGAAATATTGTTAATTTTCTTGCACTGAGTAAGGTGAGAAGACTGATCATTCTCATGTCTTTATGGTAAATATGAGGTTAACACTAGCAACCGGCTATCTTAGCACAACGATTGGAAATGAGGAAACAGCTAGTCTGTACAAAAGTTCTAGGGTGTTTTGGATTAATCTAATGCAATATAACAGTTTAATTAGTGAGCTTTAGAGGTGTCCGTAGGTAGATTTAGTTATTTAGTTGGTGTGCTAAGATAAGCTAACCAGCTGCTGGTGATAGTGTCCTATTTACAGTGCATATTTTAAAGTAGTATCTCTAAAGTAGTAGCTTTTCACCTAATTTCTGGCTAGAAAGCAAGCAAGATGACAAACTATTCACTGAAAGATGAACCACTCAGCTCACTAAATTTGCTACAACATGCTGGAAAAATAATGTTTTTTTGTTTAGGTAAATGATGTGCCTGTAAAATTATTCTGCATATATCAAAGAACTTGAAAGACTTTCCATGAAGGGAAATGAAAAGCACAGAACCAGGAAGAGTCAAGCCTTTCTGTGGAACTCCAGACAGCACTGCTCCAGCTTTCTTAAACACATTTACAGCCTTTCATTTGGGACCAGGCTGTGCTGAAGAAAAGGCCTCCACCCTTCTTTTGACCTTCTGTGCAATTCTTCCTCTAATTTGTTTGTTTCTGCTCTGACAGTCTGTTTCACCTCTAACAGCTCTTCTCAGTCAGTTCTATTCCAGATAACCCTATCTGTGACCGATGTGACTGTATGACCTGGCCACATGCCCGCCTCCTCGTAAATGCGGGGACTCTGGAAACTGCTCCTGCCTCTGAAACCCTTCCACATAGACGACTTTTTCTTACTGAAACACAGGTCCCTGTGTTATAGAGAGAATATTATTTCTGCACATTCAAACAATGTACGGCAGGTGTAAATTAGCTTGTTTACAGTGGCTGGAGAATTCAATTCTCTATTTTTAGGGCAACATTACAAACAAATCAGCTGTGAGTGCAGCTTTTTGAACTATACTAACAAGTTACACTGATTATAAAAGAGTAGTAATGACAAGATTTTTAATCAGGAAGTCATATTCCCATGAGAGACGAGAACCTAGAGAAATGCAATGTGACCACCGGCTCTATTATTCTCTATTACTCACTGACTTTCAGTCTTTTCCTTCTTTCTCTTTCATCCACACATTGATTAACTCTAGAGACTGCAGGTCAACATTACAGCCGTCATTAAAGAGCCAGTGAGAACTGATGAAAAGCCAGCAGAGATGAAAGCGAGTGTAATAACAAGAAAGTGAAAGAAAGGAGAAAAGACAGACAGAGAATAGAAGTGGTTAAAGCAAAACGTTAGACCATTTGACATCGGAAATGTAGAAGTCAGCAAGGCAGGCTTCAGACCATTTCAGAACAGGGGACTGGCAGAAATAACTTTTAATGAGCCTACCTACACATCAACTGCTGAGAAAGACACTAAGCCCTGAGCTCCACATGTAAAGCCACTGCTTAGTGGATGGAAAAAACCTTAATTAAAGATGCTGAATTTAGTTAACTATGAAAGTTTGAAGGTTTTGCTACAAAAGGGTGTTTATTCTATTATTGGACTACTATCTTAAAGCAAGTAACTTGAATAATGGCCACTAGTCAGCGAACTGACTCAAGAATGTCTGTGCAGATTCTCAGTCATCCAGGTAATAGTAAGCTGAAAAAACGTAGAAAAAAATCAACTGTCATCACTGATGAAGCCTCTTGGATGAGAGGTGAAACGTCTTCAACCTAAAACCAAGTCCAGGTGATTTTTTTTTTTTTACGTTTTTTCAGCTGACTCAAGAATGTGACAAAGGTTGTTTGTTAAGAGGTTAGCTAACATTAGCCCGCTAAAGATCACACCAGACAAAGAAAGGCCGGAGCAGCAAAACCCCTGAGTGTACCGAATTCAACGAGTGGGCAAGTGTTTCTTATGCAACTCTTAATTTGTAAAAGAAAGAATCTGTTATTTCTTCTTTCAAAAGCAACATTGCTTTAAAGATAAAACAAGGGAGGGTGAAACAAAAAATGCAGTCTTACAGTCATAGCCAGGAGTTTGCCATAGGTGAGGTGTGCAGGAATGTGGTCAGGCTTGGCTCGCAGGGACTCTCTGTACCATTGTTCAGCTTCACTTAGCTTGTTCAGTCTCATGTAGGCCTCTCCTGTGAGAGAAAAGTGGGGGTCAAGACAGGGGTCAAGCTGTCAGAGGTTAAGGCATCACATATCTTCCCACTGTTTTGCTGAGGAGTTGCACGACACAGTAGTGAGGACAGGTTTCAGTCCAGTGTGGAACAAGCCCAGCACAAATCCTATGTTTTATTAAAAATGTTATTAGCTAGCCATATGTTTACACATGGCCCTAAACTAAGGGGATACAATTGTTCAGTTTTGTTTAAACATACCACATTCATACTGCTGAAATGTATCTTTCACAAATCCAGTTCAGTAATGAAAGGGTTCGATTATTTCAATCTGAACTGCATTGAGTTCTTGATATACAAATAAGCTCAGATGAGTGGATGTTTTAAAAACCTATAGGACTGATTCTACTACACACCCACTCACTCCCTGGTCTATTAGACATCATCTGATACCTCCCCCTCTCTCTGCCTCCTAACACCTGAAATAACAGTGACCTCTCTTTCATAGCCATCCAATAGCACTTGTATTATTACAAGATTTGGACAAGATTAGATGGTAATTGGACACAACACATTTAAAATCAACATTATAGGATATTTAGGTAAAGCGTGCACAACAGGTGTTAAAATGTCACAAGAACTTGGTAACGTAGTTAAAATTTCAATTTACAAGACTTAGGAATTGCCAAATAACTGGACAATTTGTTCAGACCACAGCGGGCTGAAATGTTTACTCTGCAGGAATTAGGGCTAATTACTTCCCTGACTGGAGGTTACGATAAGCAGCATGTGACCTAATTACAAATCAGGGACCTTTTCATTGATCTATAAACACATTTTCTTGCTCACAGTGAGCGACATTGCCGTGCAATCCTAGACACGCACTGTGGGCATGTAAGACATCGACTGCAAATATCAATACTGTCACAGTGTAGAGATTTAGTTAGAATTCCTAAATTGCTCTTGTTGGATTGTCAAAAATGTTTTTATTTCAAATTTAAATTTATATTATTTGAAAAGTGCAATATATATATTTTTTTAAATAGTTACTTATTTAGGTTTTAATTTAATAAATCACCTGTTATAGATATGATTTTTTGAATTATAAAGATTATTGCACTATTTAAAATGGACATACAGGTTTGTTTTGACATGACCTCTCCATCGCTTGGTGAGGTTTAAAAGCAGCCAAAAATATGTGTCTAATGGCTTCCTGGCAGCAGGCCTCTATACGAGATTAGCACAAACATCTATGTGCAATTAGAAGTGACATCGAATCCAAGGAGCTGAAAACCCGCTCTTCAGAGCAGAGCATTTCTCAGCCCACCAGGGAGTGTTGGAGAGGGGCCAGTCGGGTACAGGTTACCAGCCAGGTCTGCCTCTAATGAAAGTTTCTGCCTCTTGGTGTCTGACAAACAGCATGAGAGCAGCACAGAGAGTGAAACTGGAGGGGAAATACTGTAGATGCGACCAGGTGTGCCACATGTGCAAATAAGCTCAGCACAGAAACAACACTAAGCTGCAGAAATTACAGAGTGCTGCTTCTTAACAGCCACCAAAATTTTGACATAATCTGTCAAAATGCATTTTGCCAACATATGAGCAAACTTGTGGCACTAGTAAGATTTGATTATAGATATTCCAGCTTTCAAGTGTTTGTAATAGAGAGAGAGAGAAAAAAAACAAGAAAGCAAAGAAAGAGCAGCCAGAGTATAATGAGCATGCAGCAGCTGTTCTACAGCTGTGATCCAACAAGCAAGGCTGTTCCTGCCGTAAGAACCAAATTAACCCTGTTTAATATGTTTTAAAAATGAGCATTGTCTGGTCAAAACACTGTAACAGCATAGACTCAAATGTTTTTTCTCAAATAAGGATTTCACTGAAAACCATAGGTTTCAAAAAACTGGAGTGATCTTAACATTTATATTTACTAAACAAGGGTGTACAATAAGCCCTAGGTTTAGGATTCAAAACTGGAAATTTGAACAGAAGGCTAACGACCTCTGAAATAGTGACAGCACTAACAGACTTCCTGCTTTCTAAATGTGAACATATTTAAACATTACTGGATAAAGAAACCTATGCTTACACGTTGTTCATTTGGTTTAAGTGTCATCATGATTCAAAAGAGTAACTTTAATCTGCATTTCTGGGGTTAGCAGAGGCTATACTTAGCATTAAAATGAGTAATGCTAACTGAATGCTTGGATTAGTTAAGGTGCTACCTGTACAGGGGATTATTGGTTTAAAAGTATGTTTTCACACAGTGAAAATATACAATATGTAGCACATAACTGGTCCGCAATAGTCCAAAGACAACCCCTTAAACACAGCTCCGCTTCCTGTTTTTATTTCCACATTAGAAAACAACAACTTTTATGTTTGCGACCCTGAAACAAAAGCAGCTCTTACCCATCATGTTGTAGAGGCTCTGTGGTGCAAATTGTCTTGGCATTTTCTCTATTGCTTCTTTAAACACAGAGAGGGCCTCCTGTGAATGAAACAAATAAAAAGAAGAAGAAGAAGAAGAAGAAGGTGGGGGATGTTTGCATTATAGAGCAGAGCAGAGAGACTCCGCCAGAGAAGCTGGCGCTGGGGTAACTAGTCATTCCTCCCCTGCAGCCGGGGCCCTGACACTGTGAATACACAGCGTGGAATTGGGGGTCGCCAGGAGGCTGGTTGATACAGAGCTAAGCAGAAAAGGTCTATCCTCAGAGTCATGGCTGTTAAGATGACTAGAGCGGTGTCACATATTGACTTTAGTATGTATAGAGTGTAGCGATTCACCTCAGATTCCCTCAGAGTCTAAATGGCCAAAGGAGCTGGACTACTTTATTGCTGAAGTCAGTATTTCCGTTAGAGGCCGGAGGAAATGAGACTGCTCTTCTTCTCATGCCAGTTATTTATAAAGGTCTTTACAAAACCTGCAGTACTATTTCATTCCTGATTAGATCAACAGTATCAGTTCTTGTGTACACTATAAAGGTGTAGCATTAGAATAACAGATACTTTAGCAGGTCCTGAAGGTCTTTAGGGTCATGAAAGTGAGTGAATTTGTTAGAACCAGCCTGAGGATTTTCTGCACAAAACAATACGTCTCCTGTGACAGAGGCAATTTTAGAATATGTCCATATAAAACTGAACAATTTCTCAATGTGCCCCAAAGGCTCTTTAGGCGACTGCCTGCATTTTATCTCAGTTCACTATAGTTTTACATTTCCAAGCTTCTGCATGTAAAGGAACACTCAATGACCTCCTGTGATAGCAAGTTTCAAAATACATACATTTGAGCCAAAATAGATGTGTGCATGTGTCTATTCTATCATTGGCAAAAAAAAACAACACATTGGCTTTCTTATCACATGTACCATCTTCCTTAATAAAAATAAACACCTGAATTATTTAAATCTATTCATCAATAAGGAAATAACAGTTTCTCATATTTGGGGTATTATTGTAACTCAGCAAAACATACTGCATCATGTGGTTCTGTGAATTAAAGTCTGCTAATGCTCCGCCTGCTGAAATATTCTGAAGTATATACAGTATGTGCATTTAATGATTTTCTGTAGTTTTTGCTTGTTACCTCCTGGTTTCCCTGCTCATGGAGCAACTTGCCCAGGTTGTATAAGCAACTAGTGACTGAGCTCTTATGGGCATGGGGGTCCTTCAGGTTCTCATCTGGGATATCAGCGCAGGTCAGGAATGTGCGTTTTGCTTCATCTAGGCGACCCTGGTTCATCAGGATGATGCCTGTGTTCAAGTAAGCCGCTGTTGGAAAAACAAAAGATGGAGAGTAGTGTTAGTTCAGGCAGGGCACTGAAGCTGTGCTTGCATTAGCTAATTAGAATTACTTGTCATTCACAATCACTGACTCATTCCAGCTGACTAGTAATGTCCAATCATATTTATGAGGTGTTCAGTGTGGTCACAAGAACTTGACACCGAACACTACCGCACCTTACTCCTCTATCCCTACCTCCTACAAATGTGCTAAGTTTCTGGTACTGTTGATTTAAGAATTAAAGTACATGTATGTTTTTATTAAGGGAGGATTAGCTCTCCCAGCAGAGTCCATGGTGCTGCTTGGATTCTTTGCTCCCACAAACAGAAGAAGCCTTTTCCGCCAAGTCTATGTGCATAACCAAACAGTAAGCCAAATGGGCAAATCCTTGACACAATTGACTCCCATGGACCAGAAGCTACAGAGATCAATGATGCTGAAAATGTGAGTAGGAACCTTCTCTTTATGAAATGCACCTTTGCAGCAGAACAATGAACAACAGTTTTTTACTGTACTGTTTGTTCTGACCTTTGCATACAACCTGTGGGATACTTGAAGCTTGGAAGCTTGTTATACCTTTCCTTGAGCAGTCACAGAAAACATCTAATGATCAATATGCAGCTGGAGTGTAATTAGTCTCCATGGACCTGCCTCTTTGAGCAACTAAGACTGGCTGTTGGAATGAATTAACTTGATACAGTAAATCAATCTAGGAAGCGCTTCTATAGGGCATTAACAATCATGTTAAAGGAAAGTGGTGGGGAATCAAACAGCCCTTTTTCTCCAGAGAAATTTTCTTCCTCGCCTGTAATTGGAATTTGCCATTTCAAAAGCTTATAATATTTTATTCCACATCTTTACGTCTCACAGGTTTATCTGCCCTTCATTGTATTTCTTTCAATGGTCCATATCTAGACTACATTCCACTGAATGAACCTGCATTAAAGGGGGAACTGATAAGAAAAACCAGAGGCAGAGAAAAGCAAGACCTTTCAAACTGATTTTCTGTATGTAAAACTGTGACAGAAATTAATAGTGCTTTATCACAAAACAGGAAGGGTCTACATATTAAATAAAAGTGCTACAGACTGCACTAGTCGACTCCTAATTAGGCAGTGAGGAATGGTGAACCTTGACAAAAACACTTTAACTGTCAGATTCTCATTCTGCCTTCAACATGTCTTCTGCTCAGGGTAATTAATTAACCTTGTTATCGGCTGTAACAGATTGGATAATTACATGCTGAATGGAAATTTTCTAGTCCAACTGTAATCTTGATTAGGTCTATTTTTAATCCATGTAAAAAGAAGAAACATCTAAGCTTATTTGTTTATGTGTCTTTGAATGATGTCTGGAACAATAGGGAGCTCATTTATTGCATGATCAGGTAAGAATATGAGCTGTTTGTTCCAATCAGTGAGTCAATCTGCTGATGACGACACAGTATGGAAAATTTAATTCTGGGAAAAGTGAAAAAATTGTGTGGATAAAAAGCAAAGATTAAAACCTGAGAAAAGAGACATGAGAATATCTCGGCCTGAATTCATAATAAATGACACCACACTGTTGCTTGATCTCTTGACACGACTTGGCTTTTGAAAGCCAATCAGACAGCTGTGCTGAATGGTCATTTCAGCTGTATACCCGCTGGCCTTTGCCACCTATTCCTCTCCCTTCACATGACCACAGCCTGTGCTCACTGTTGCCTGGACACAGCACAGCCACAACCACAAGAGCTGGAGATTGTCAATAAAAAAACAGAAGAGCTATACTTACAAGCTAGAGTTGGCCGGCTCCCAATGGCCAGCTTATAGTAGTGGAGTGCCTCTGAGAACTTGTTGTTCTCCTGTAGCAGCAAACCGCTGGAACAGACAAAAGGAATGATGGTATGGGCAGTTAAGAGCTTAGAAAACTCGAGGAGAGGCCTGAACTGAAAAGCCTCTGTTAGGATTAAGAACAGCTGATAAAACTGATGGGTAAGATTTAGACCTTAGCAAACCACAGACATTTGAGCACACTCTGGGTATTGGATGTGGATGTTTTGTGTTTTCCCCTCAGGCTAAAACAGCACCATTAATAACCCTGTTAGACAGATAGCTCCCTGGAGAATACAAAACAAGGCGGCACTTTCTCTGAGAGAACAGCACTGATCAATGAACACACATGTATACAGTAACAGGAGAGTTATGCACACACACAGACACACATACAGACATACTCTGAAATGTCACTGAAACAGCTATAGAATAAAATCAAGTATACAGGTACAAAAGCTATTTGGCAATTAAGTTTAAGAACATATAAATTAGAACTCACAGGTTATACAGCATATCAGCCATGTTGCTGCGATAATAGAGGGCATTTCTGTAGGCCTGTTCTGCTTCATCCATCTTTCCCTGGCTCTTCAGGACATTTCCAAGGTTGCCCCATGCTGACACATTACAAAAGAAAAGGTTATTCAAACAGGTTAAAAAGAAAATCTGTGGCAACCTTCTTATTCTTTTCATAATATCAAAAAGCTCTTAAATTAAAGCAGCGGGGGAGGCCATTTCTGTGGCAAGTAATAATTTTCTTTTGTTATTCACGGACTCACACTGACACAGGATCAATGGTTTTAACCCCTAAAGAGGATGTTGTTCTGCTACAGCTGCTATTCCAAGACAATATGAGTAAAAAGAGGAGACACACCAGGGGAGCTTTGTTCCTGTGAAAGTGCATGAAAAGAAGACCACCACAGTGCGAGTGCACAGCTAATGCACAGCTAATGGCATTGGTATTAAATGGCACAGTTCTGACAGGTGAAATAAGGTTGCTAAGAGGTTTAGTACATTTTGTGTAGAGGCTGCGGAGTGTGAAAAGAAATGTAGAGGAGCAATGGGGCACAAGAAATTCATTGCAATGTAACAGAGTCAATTGACAGAAAATTAATCTGGCAACTAATTTGATAAATGAGAAAATCTCTTAAGTGATTTAAATGTCAAAATGTCAAATACTCCCTGGATCCAGAATTTTGGAGTTAAAATAACAGGACATTTACTGATGTCACTTTAGGAAACTGTTACAGCCATTTTTCAATATTTAGTTAAATTCTATAGAGCACAGGATTAATCATTTAATCAAGAAAATGAAAATAATAATCAGTTGCAGCCCTAATATCATCACTGACCTGTTTTAAAGTGTTTTTTTTATCATCCAAACAAGCATGGCAATATTTATGATTGAACAGAATTAAAATAGAACAACAACAAATATGGCTTCCTGTAGTATCCTTTCTATAGTGTAAGAATACAAAATCCTGCTGCTTTTGTTGACGTGTTTAAAGTGATAAAATGTGCAGTCTGCCTTTAAGTATTATGTATATTTAACCGTTCAAATCCTATCATGTATGGAATCTCAGAGGAAAATTCAGTAAATAAAGGCTGGGAAAAAATAACTCAAGCCTCCTTCATTCAGCTCTGCTTCCAGTCATGCACTGATTTTATTAAGTTTTACAGTAAAGAGTTCTTTCGTGTATCCTAAAATTTCACAGTTTTAAATGATGCCATGAGTGTGTATGTGTTTGAGGCTGGGCTCTGTTCAAATCTCATATTAGTTATAATGAATGTTAGTCGGGGACGTTGCTGCTGCTCTGCTCGGTTGATGGCCTGCCAAAACAAACAGCTGTCATGCCTCAGCTCCACTGCAGAATCTGAAAGGGAAATTAACTAACACAACGTGTCCCGCTGTTGCTTTGCAAGTCCCTGCCCTGCTTCCCTCCTGAGCAGCTCTCAGAACTTCACTGTGGATATGAATCTGTGCCTGACGACCTTGAATGTGAAACCTATTGATGCCAATCAGAGATGAGTATGTGTCCTTCCAAGCAAGACAAGGCATTAAACAAACAGCATTTTGCATGTGAGAAGATGTGTGATAAAAAGTCACAACTTTGATGTTTTCCTTCAACAATAGTTAAATAAACTGTTATTAAAAATACAGTACATTTGTCTTTGAGTAGTAGAATTTCACAGCAGTCCCATTTTGCATGTGTGCAAAGTTCAACTTTTGAGCATATTTATATTCAGCGGTAAGGCTGAGTGATGAAGAGAAGACGTTCTGAGTCTGATTGGCTTTGAATTATTCAGGACAGCAGCAGACTGAGAGACACAGCACACACGATCAAATTCAAAACTTAAAAACTTGCTCATAGTACAGCCAAATGTGATGGGTGAATGATGTTTTGATGTGGTAATGTTTATAAAAGTGCATAGAAACATGTCTGTGCTCACGTTAGAGCAGCTGAACCTGTGTGCATGCCTATGTGAGTGATAGCATGCATCTAGGGCAGCCCTTACCTTTAGCAGGATTGACATAAATCCCTGATTTGTAGAGCATCTCCTCATTCTGCCAGTCCCGGTTTCTCAAAACAGTTTTGACACCAAAAAGAAGAATCAGGGCTGCGCTACAGTACACCAACATTGTCCTGAAGGACCCACGCTGCAGTCGGACATAGAGGGACCTCATCCCTACTGCTACCAGCAGGCAAAAGCCCATGCTGGGGATGTATAGTACTCGCTCTGCTATCACAAACCCCACATAGAAAAACAAATTACTGGCAGGTAGGAAAGGGATAGCCAACAGGCCTAGAGAGAACACTACAATATTTTCAGTGGTGGGCAGTGGAGTCCTGCTGTCACAGTGCTTCTTGGTACCATTTTGTGCACTATTAGTATGAGCGTCTATGTGGGAATTGTTCATATGCTCATGATCATTATATTGGTAACTGTGTCCATTACTACTGCCGTTCCTGCCGTTGGTGTAATGATGTGCCTTGCCATTGGTGTCCTTGCCCTTAGCCATGCCGTGGTATGTACACAGGCCAAACCAAGCCAACATCAGCAATCCAAGGTAGAATACAACTGTGTGAATATTTCTCCAATCAGCCAGGTTCCTGATCAAAGGCATGGCATCCATTGACCAATCAAAGCTGAGTGTGTCTGGGCAGAGCAGGAGCCAAAAGTTGATAGCAGGTAGGTAGAAGAAGGTTAGTATCCTGGTGAGGAGTGAGGGGGAGTCGGCCGCAGGGTTGTCAGAGTTGGAGAAGTTGGGGGGTTTGTTGCCCATCCAGTAGAAGCGGCACGCTAACAGGATGGCTCCCCAGGCTGCCAGCAAAAACACGTTCTGCAGCAGGTGGACATTCGTTCTCTGAAAGACAAAGGAAACATAGAACAACCTTTAATTCACTGGAAAGGTAAGGCATTTGAGAGGAAATACTGCACATATGAGAGCACCAAGCTGTAAAGAGTTTTCTGAGTGGCTATAATATTTATGACTCTTGGGCCTTTAGATTTACTTTAATCCAGGGTTGGAAATTGATAAAGGAAATGTCTGATCTTACATCACTTTACCGCAAAAAAAAAGCCACACCAACAGCTGTGTAATGCCAAGCACAAATGAGTTCAGTGACATATTTTTCTTCACTGTTTACTTCACTATTTTTTTGAAATCCAAAACATTCAAACTAATCCAATTCATCTATTGTTTAAAAATGAATGTGATCTTTCATCGTAACGTTTGATTCATGCATTATTTTTGCCTCCATATGTGCTCCATTTATCAAGTAACAGTTTCACAAATGCCGTATGGAAACGCCTATGAAATATTTAATGCTTTTGATTGTTTAATACTCTGCTGGCAGAGCAGTGAAGAATGAGTGGATATACAGCCCTGCAAGCATGTTCTGTTAGGAGCTGACCTCTCTTCTTGTCTTCATGTTGGAAATCAAACATTTTATCTAAAATTTAAAGCATCCACAGGAATGTCCTCTCATCTCCTGCAGTATTGCACAACAAAAATACTAAGAAAATGGAAAATTATTCATTACCACAGAAGGCACAACAATATAGATTATCACTGCAGTCTTGATCTAAAGCTCCTTAAGGCATCATAGTCCTAGATGGTTTCTCAGGTAAAATTCTTTACATGATTTGATCTTAAACCCAAGGGAACACAGACTAACCTCACATTACCTTTGATTTAGTGCATGCGGTCTTTCTCTGGCTCCATGTGCCAAAGGGCACAAATATGTCACATCTGTGATCATAAGTGTCATACCACCACTTCTCTGGGGTGAGCTATTGATTTTCTCACCTGCCCATTTTCATTTACAGATTGCATCTGAAGAGGGGCTTCAGAAACCTCTGACGGCAGGGAAAAGCTCTGCTGTCTGCTAATGCAAAGAATTGCTGCTTAAGAGGCAATGAGACTGGAAACACAGAAGACAGCACTGGGACAACACCATGAAAATGACCTGAAAACAGCTAATGGTGCACTACAGGGGGTTTACATGATAAGAGGAACGCCTATATAATACTTCTCAAAACAACAACTCTATCATGTTTACTGTGACTGAGTGAGAATGGTTTTGATTCTTTTGTATCTGGTGGTAGCTCTTATAAATCAGAACATTACAGAAGAAAAGAGCATTACTTGAAGGAATAACTCTGACACTTTTAGATACTCAAATGAGCAGCGAGTGGCTTAGGTTTAACCACATGGAGCTAAATATTGGTATACAATGCAGTTTTTGAAAATATCACATCCACGAAAAAAAAAATCCTATAAGGTCAACTCTGTCAAAACCTTGAGGGGAGACCTGACAGCAGTTCGCAGTGCTTCAGTATTTCGTGAGGTTGTCCCACTGCTAAAGGAGTTGTTCAGTCGCTTGGCAACAAAAGGTCAGCGTTTCAATTCACATCACCATTTCTCATTAAGTTGAGTAACTGCCAAAAGTGTTAGCATCAGCTGCGCATGGGTCAGAGACATCACAAAGAAATGCATTTTATGTAGAATATTAATGATGAGGAATTCTGATCAGATGCTATTAAATAACACTAAATTAAGAATAAAAAAATCGAGACAATGTGCAGAGGTTTAATGGATGAACCACTGGTCAACCATAGTCCGTCTACTATAGCTGGGAATCCACTGTGACAAAGTCTGACATAAAACCACAGCTAGGCAACTGAATACAAAACAACTATTGTTAAGCCTATGTGCAAACTCCCAATGTTCTCAATATAAAGTTACCGACATCTTTCATTATGTACAGATGATAACATAGTACAAACATGAACAAACTGGTTCCACCAAAATGTTATCATTACATCTTTCAGTCCAAGTAAATGTTTGTGCTCAAACTGAGAACAGTCCCGCAAGGTGTTCCTGAGATATTGCATTCATGAAAATAAGATAGACAGACATGTGGATGGACAGATGAACAACCCAAAAACATACTGTAATGCCTCTGGCTACGAATATCACAGGCAGAGAGGCATAGCAAGCCCTACTTCCTGATGAACAGAGGTTAATACCTATATATCATTTTAATTAGTTGTCAGTGACACACAGGTATGCACTATGCAGCATATACAGTATGTTACTGCTGATTGTGGGATTACCATAACCCACTGAGACATGCATAAAACAAAAATAAACAGATGCATGACTACATGAGATACAGTATGTCCTTCTATATAGGTTAAACGAAAACTAACTAACTAATAGGATAATGTTTTAATCATTTAGCTTTGCTGATGGGTAGATCCTGCTACCTTCACACCAAGCCAGGCTACGCTGCTTTTTCCTGTTTCTTGTCTGTGTTAAGGTAAGCTAATCATCTGTTGGGTGAAGCTTTAATTTATCATACAGATCTAGCTCTATGCAAGAAAGCATATTGCTCAAAATGCCAAACTCTTTGGGAGAGATTACCTAAGATTTCCTTATCTTGACCTTTTATCCCATCAGATGTACCTTATGTTCACAAGAAATGACATCTAAAATAATATTTTGAACCTACAATGACAATCCACAACAAACTGCTGCAATTGTTTGGACACATGTGCACAAATTAAAAATATATCAGGTTGAGGTGACACAAAACAGTTAAACACACACACAAAGGACATTTACTGTGCAGTATAAAAAACCTTACACCCCATATAGAATATCAGTGGCCAGTTTATACCAGTCCAAATTAAAACTCTGTGCTAGATGGGTTGGGCTAGATGGATAAACATCCTTCAAATCTTGCACACCAGATTTCCATGCAGACTTTCATCCCACCCCTAAAATCACTGAAGTGGGCCAACTGAGGTCCTGTGGCCACTTTTCAATCTAAGTAAGTGAACAGTGGATTGAAGAGGTATGTGCAGAAAGCCTGAGTGGAGCTAATACATCTAAATCACTGCTTCAGGGAGATCGACCTTGGATTTACAAGGCTCTTCTACAAGCTCTCAAGAAGACTCTCTCACCCAGTCGGAGGCTTACAAGACACCACCTCAGCGCTAAATGAAAGCACTTTGCAGAAGAAGCTGGAAGAAAAGTCGCCTTGAGTTTTAAAGAGAACAGGTCATCTAAATACTGGGAGTTATATGGACGGGGTACTGTGCCAGGTTCCCAACCAGAGATCTCTTCTGAGCTCATTTCTGTGTTGTTTATGGCTGATACCTCCAGTACCTTTATTCTGCATCAGCTTTGTTCCTGCTGTCATGAGACCACTGTCTGCAGGGCAATAGGCTGGCATGAGAGTTTTCTGTAGTGCTGCTGTTGACAACAACCTGGCGCTGCTCCCACACATACTCATTCATACCTGGCACAGTGACAAACAGATATGTCATCATGACTTCTCATATGCACTGCGCACACACTCAGACACCACCACCTTAACCACATCCATATGTCAATGCTGATGACTGAGGCAGTGTTTCTTTACATTCTGCACTTGTACATCGAGATATACCCTTTGTTGAGATTCCACGCAGTAGGCAGTGCTGAAAATATAAAAGCTAACAAATGTTCCTTTTCTTGGCCTACTTTGCCCACTTCTTTGACCTACTCTGTAAGATAAATGTGAAGGCAAAATGAGGAAGTATTGTAGAGATGTTCTGGAAGACGTATTACTGGGGGACAACATGAATCCCATGCACGTCTATTATATTTTGGATAAACAAACGTGCCTCCTCCATAATACATCTACAGTTAAAATGTCTACCATTCAAAAGTTTAATTACAAGTGGGGAAAGAGGTCCCCAGGTGTTATAGCTCATTTATGCAGAAAAACCAAGGCATTCTAGCTTTGTGTCTTTTGTCTATAATCTAGTTTAGTTTGAAATAAATGGCTCAGCACAGCCCCCTAGGAGGCATGAGGGCAGTGGGGTTTTTTTTTATTCCCTTTTGTGGTTCAGGCACAATCAGTTCAGAATTGAAACAATTTAGCCTTTATAAGCCAGGTATGTGAATAAAATATCCTTGGAGATGAAATGCAAAACAGGCCAATTAGAGAATTCCTATTTGTGCCTGGGTCTGCCTTTTTTCCTCTATACTTTGATTAGGTAGAATTGGCTGAGAAGAAAACTCAATCCGAAAGGTTTTTTCTTTAAAAAAAATAGCATCCACTAAAAATCATGTAGCAAAATTGGACAGAGAGAAATTTAATTCATTAGTTTAGAGAAAGTAATCCATTCTTTGGGTACATACAAGCGTTTTTGCATAATTGGCTGATGCATGCTATATCATTTTTCAAGAGCCTTTTAAGAACAATCACTCCTATGACACATCTAACTACCCCATCAAACTGCAACACAGTGACTGACTCAAACTCCAGAGAGGACATCTGAAAAAATTCTGTGAAAGAAGAAGTGGCATGTCTGACCGAGCCCCTCCCCTTCATCATTACTGAGACCAAATGTCTGCAGAGAGCCTTTCATCAAGATCCTGCTTCACTTTGATTGCTTTGTAATGGCAGTGAAAATGAGTTCAGGATACCAATCACAGAGAATAACCGCCTTCAAAGCTTTCAGTCACAAACACACATATAGCTCAAATTTCCTAAGAACACCAGATCCCCTCAAATGTCTGCTTAAATAAAGGATGGATATACTTTGCCTGTGTCCTTGACTGCAGGATCAACAAATCAAGTTTTGGGTTGATAAACCACAAATTCACCATCTATCTTATCTCCTTATTATCAGTAGCAACAGCTGCTGCTGTGATCCCCTCCTCTGAGACAGAAAAGAACCTTTGGGTGTAAAACCTTATTTTTAGCAGGCAAGACATGATAAGAGGCCCCTTAGTCACTTCCTAACAACATGTTATGGTATACCAACAGCTGGCTCTTGTTTTCAATGTGTGATTATGCTGATGCC